CACTTGGTCACCACCGGTGTGAGTGCTATGGGTCTGTAATCATTGAGAATGTTGATTGTAGTAGACTTGGGGAGTGGGACTATTGTTGTTGATTTCAGACAATATGGAACCGTAGCTTCAGACAAGGAGCAATTGAATAATTTGGTAAATACCATGGATAGCTGTTCTGTGCAGTTCTTCAGCACCTTGCCAGGAATACCATCTGGACCAGCCGCTTTCCTCTGATGAACAGCCCTGAACACGGTGCGAACCTGTTGTTCTTGAAGTGTGAGCATTTGTGTATCTGATCTGAACTCAGCAGATGATGTTATAGGAGTGAAGTTAGTTGTCAGGAAGCTGGTATTCTCAAAACGAGCAAAGAAATAGTTGAGTTCCTCAGCTAATGAAGCTCCTATTTCAGTGCTAGATCTGCTATCCTTGTATTTGGTAATGTGGCAGAACTTGGGTGATCCTATAACCTGCCGATGCCAAATAAGGCAATTGTATGTACTCGAATACTTCGCCCAAGGAAATAGTTAAATAGCAAGGCACTTAGAACAGTTTCCCTTTAGTGAGACAGGAGACGTGGTTTTAACAATCACAATCCATTTATTGTTTAAACAAAGAAAAGGTCAGTAAAAAAATCACTCCTTTATTAGTTAAACCAGCCGTAAAAAATGTCCGTTATTAAAATCACTCGGTTCTATATAAGAAAACACTAAAATTAGACAGTCAAATTTGTTTAAACCAGCAAATCCAGGGAGCGATAACAGGAATCAATTTAACCTTCATATTACTCACTTTCCCCTCCCCTCAGTTCCAGGGTAAGTAATGCAAAAAGGTTAAACAACAAGAAAAATATCGAACTGAGGCTAGTGAGGGAGGCAGGGGAGTCACGGAGGCAAAGAAATCCCAACAAAATAAAAAAACATAAAGAAAATATACTGACTTCACCCAAAGTAAGTGCACAGTCACTCCAACGTGAAAGACCCAGCACCAACACACTCGCAGACGGGACCGCCACCTCCGAGACCACACTCCTGCCTCAGCCTACACAAAGGAAACAACAAATTACAAACAGCAATAAAATAGAAGTTTAGTTGTTCCCCTCCTGGGCCCCGGCTATGCGCCAGGGGACTTCCTTGGAACAACTTTTGTCGAGACAAGATCAAGAGAAAGCGAAACAGCAGTGCCGCTGGCCGAACCACGGGGCTCTAAACAAAAGACAAAAGGTAAAGATTACCAACCAATTAACCTTAGTCAGGTGTGGAGCTGGCCAGGCCTACACCTACCGATCTTCCAGCTAATAATGCTCGAACCAGAAGGGAACTTCCTGCCCGGCAGCTACGGAGATTCAATATACCCCTGCTTTGATACAAAGCTGGCGTTAGAATGTTTGACCCACATATCATCTCCCCTTGCAGGAAGATACATACCGTTTTCCCAACGCTTCCTCGACTCCAAGGTGAGAAATGATGTCACACCCAACGCCGACAACTAATGCCCAAGCTGTGGAGTGCACAACACAGCCTGTGAAACAGTAGTCATAGTGCTAGGCCTAATAGCTGTCAGGGTACCTACCACCATTGGAGCAGAGCCAATCGTAAAGTAAAACTCCGCCTGAGGACACAAGCTGGAAATGCCAACACACAGCATTTCTGAAACTAGCCGCTTCCTGGGTTTACTTCCTACATGGGAGAGGCTCCCTTTTATAGCCACAGCACCCTCTCACATGTGGAGGCTGTACTGTTCCAGTCCAATCAAATGAAAGCAGGTATTTCATCTTGCTACATTCATATGTCTCAGCCCTTCCCAGACCCTCCTTGGGTTGCTGTCAGCCAGATGTTGCGACAGCTTTTTGGTGTAGCTCAATTTAGCATCCTTGATTCCCTTTTTAAGATCAGTCCTTGCCCGCCAGTACTTGGCCTGGTCTCCCGACGCGTATGCAGCATTACGTGCCTTTAATAGTACCCTGACCTTATTCGTCATCCAGGGTTTACAGTTAGGGTAGATCCGAACCTGCTTGTGAATGATAACAGTGTCCATGCAATGTTTGATATAACAGCACAGCATCTGTGTAAATTTGAAGATCCTCATTTTCAAAAATGCTCCATTCTGTTTGAGCAAAACAGTCCTGCAGTTGAGCCATGGCAGCGTATTAATGGTTTTAATAACTGGCCTTGTTCCTTTTTTCAGTGGTATGTTTGCAGGTAGGAGGAGCAGAGAGAGATGATCTGACTTTCCATCAGTGTTGTACGAGTTATGTGCACGTGTGTGTGTGTGTGTGTGTGTGTGTGTGTGTGTGTGTGTGTGTGTGTGTGTGTGTGTGTGTGTGTGTGGATTGGGGGTGAAACTGTCATAATTGTTTTAAGTGTGGGAAAGGGAGGGAATGTGGGTTATATGGATCATTTTAATCTGTTAAGCACTTTGTGTTGCTTCCTGTGCATGAAAAGTGTTTTATAAATAAAGTTTGATTTGATTTGATTAATGCATACCGGTATTCTGAGCAGGAGGGATTCTCACCAGTGTCCCTTTGGATAATGCTCCGTTTGGGGTAGGCATCTAGATCCACAAGCTCTTAGTGTTTGAAAAAAAGGATATTGTGTGTGTATGCAAGGTTTAGATCATAAACCTGCAAACCTCCTTTGACTCTGAATGTGCAGTGCTTTTCAGGCCTGGCTCTGATCCTTCAGTGTAAAGCTTCAGTCCATCCTTCAGACACTCCAGATGATTGCTGTGGAAAGGAAACAAAAGCAGATAAAAAATCAGCATAACAAACATTTGTTCAGTCACCCTTTTAATGATGCCTCTTAATCTTAGTTTAATACATTCACAACTATTTTTGTACACATTTTAACATCCATAACGGGATGTATTTCATATCACAAGAAGAAATGCTGGACTGAGTGTTTGCAATTATCTAACGTTTTTAAAAGCTAAAAGTAAACAAAGGTGACTGTGAGTTGTGGTGCTCATGGCCTCTTGTTCCCCTGCTCTCCTCTCTCTTCCCACTGAGCAGCAGTCTGCCGCTGCTCTAGAGCGAGAACTCTGTGCTGCAGACAGAGAGATGCTTAAGCCTGATTTATGCTTCTCCGTCTGCGTCAGTGCGGAGACACGCAACGCCATTATCCGTCCTTGCGTAGGGCTCCGGCAGGCACGCAAGTACGTACGGAGTCGAGCCCACTTTTTTAAACATCCGTCAAACGAGACGAATTACGCAAGCTTGTGATTGGTCAGGACGCCGCTGTTGTTTACAGCGCTGCCATTGCAAAGAGAGCCGAGGATAACTAGCAGCAGACACGGAGAAGCTTGAAGAATGCCTCGCGAAAAAACTCTAAAAATATGAACGTTTAATTCTCCCGTGACTGGAGGAGTGAAGAGATGTGCAGCAAGCGTTTTATTTGTGGACAGAAATGACAGGAAACGTGGGTTTAGAGGTGGGGAGCGCACGAAGCGGTGGGAGAATGAGAGACAAATTTGTCTGTGGTAAAAGTCTCTTATATACACAAAAACACAATATAAACACACTATCTTGGACCGATACATGACAGGATACCACAGAACAGTGCTACGCCCTCTGTTGTCCTGCCGGGCAATTGCTTTGCAACACTCTCCAGGAGACGGAGAAGTATGAGAGCAAAACGCTTCCGTCAATCCGTGCGTGTCTGTCCCTTGCGGAGCTGACGGAGAAGCATAAACCAGGCTTTACTCCACAGCATCCAGAATGATAATGAATCAAGCATGCATGAAGCCCTCGCCAGTCAGAAGTGGTAGACATGAATTTCAGCTGGCCAATCAGTTTGTAGTGTCACCTTGGTCCCAGACGGACTGCCGAGGAAGGGGTCTGAAAAAAAGTCACCTAAAATGCACATATTACCCAGATGTGAAGCCAAATAAGCTACCCAGCCCAGACTGCCTCATTCTGGAATGTACTGAAATTGTTGAGAATAAAAGTACTTTAATTGCTTTATGTGAGAGAGATTTTGTGCAACAAACTTCATAAAAAAGTTTTTTAATTGACCACATAACTACTATAGAAAAAATGTCATGACATATTTCCTTTAAACATTTCATTTTTGTATAAATGTTGTGGTTTTGACTGAAAGCAAGCCCAGGCAAGATATTTAGGTTTATTTTAGACGTATTGAACAACAGAAACGACAAAGACACATAAATAAAATATTAACAATACAAAAAAAAGTATATTATGAAAAATATTATTATTATCGTTAATCAAAAATGGGAGGATGACACAAACTGTTACAAAACTAAAGTTATACAGTGTTCATAACATTCATAACTCATTTTACTAAACAAATCTACAAGAACACTGTTGACATACATACGAAGATTTTTGTTCATTTATTACATAAATCATGCATGGTGAATTACATGTGATGCAAAAATATTTGTATTGATTTATCTTATAAATTTGCCCAACCAATAAATCAAATTACAGCTAAGGTATGTTATGTAATGTGCTTTTTGGATCAAATATTTCTGTTCAAGCCATTAAATATTGAAATGGCAACTTTTATGTTTATTTATTTTACTTTGGACTTTGTTTTAGGACACAATGTCAGCTGCGGAGACATTTATTTTCATTGTACAAGTGGATTTCTTACAAAAATACCTGCTCATATAAATTGCTACTTGCAAAGATTTAATTTCAGTTTACAATGAATGTTATGCTATATTTCGTTTTAATTACGGTGTGTCTAATGCGGGTGTTGGGTCTTATTATTATTATATGTAACAACAGCTTGCCATAACCTCTGAAGATCTTTTGCCCGGTGTTTTCTTTAGTAAAACTCGTATTTAATGGTATTTAGCGTTGGTAAATCGGGTTGATGGATGGATTGATGGGGAAGACTTTGCCTCTCCCTGCTGCCTCACTGCGGCCGTCCGCTTGTAAACGTACGTGACGTCGCTTCCTCTCTCCAACATGGCGCAGGAGGCAGGTTGTTAATGGCAATCTGAGGGATTTACCCCACCTTCTGTATTTATGTTTGTCTCTTAAGGGCTCTGCGGCTGACTTTCGTGGAGGAATACATCTCGGATCGAGGCGGCTGCAGCCCTCACCCCCTTTCTTTGGGACCAGGCACACCTCGCTCCAAATTCCGTAGCGATATGTATGAAGGGAAAAAAACGAAAAACATGTTCCTGACAAGAGCTTTGGAAAAGATCCTGGCCGACAAGGAGGTGAAAAAGGCTCACCATTCCCAGCTGCGCAAAGCCTGTGAGGTGGCACTGGGTGAGTTGGTTTTTATTAGCATCACCGTGTTGTTCTGGACTTGGACTCATTGATTTAGACACGTCATGCACCCTTTCACTTATTAACAGGGTATCCTGGAAGAAATGTCGCATCCTTTTAGCGATAAAGTGTATTCTACAGCTATTCCAAGCCTACCGATTCAGGAGAGACAGTGTTGTATTAAATTTTTTATCCATCTGTGTTTTTATCGACGTGGCGTGAGCCCGTTTTGAGTGATTCCGTCTAAAACACGGAAATGCTGCAGGACGGGTGGGTGTTTGCAACACCGAGCGAGCCGATGCTGCGAAACTAGTAGCAACCTTAGAACGGGCCGAATATCGTACAAAAACTTCCTTGCCGACTGCTGTGCTCCCTTTTAAACGCCAACATAACCCCAAATAGCCCATATGCCATCTTAGTTTAAACTATTGCTATTTAAATAGCTTAATTTGATCACGTTTAATCTATTAAAGGTGTAATGTTTGCATCTTTTCCTGGAACACGGTGCTGTGTCCCTGTTCGGCCATCATTGGAAGGCATTATCCATTTAATTAATACGTTATTCATTAACCAGTTTAATCACTATTCGTTCTGGACCATTCTTTGTCTCTGTTGCTAAATGTAGTTGGCAACAAACACAAAGTAATAGATGACAGTTGCGCCTTCATACGAGAACTAGTCATTAACCGGAAATGGCAATGGCACTTCCGGTTACTTTTAAAATAAGTTTTATGCATAACACACAGGATGCGAACTAGAATTTCAAGGGGCTACTGTTTCAACTTTAGCAGAGAAACTTTGCATTTAGCATAAAACGAATGGAGAATAGTTAATGTTAGTTTCCTATAAAATGTTTTTACTCTTCTTAATAGCATATGGTTTTAAAAAGTGCTTTATTTTTGAAAGGCACATCCCTTAACATCCGTTTTAACTATTAGCTTTAGGAAGCTGTTAGCATGTGTAATTGGCATATATTTAATTTTTTAAGTGGCTGAAAATAATAAAACTAATAACTTGCAACAATTAATCAACTATTTTCCAAATAAAGCCTTAGAACAGAGCTACATAATTAAAATGGGCTTCACTTGGAATTTATCTCTCAAGTCTACTAGGCTAACTGCTTTGTGTAGCTTGGACTAGAAGTGGGGTTCTGTTTTTGTGACAGCTTGGGAAGTAAAATTACTCTGGCAGACTGAAACAAAGAGTCTGTGTTATGGAGCAGCCACACATGCTACCTGTCCTGACAATGCTGCCATTATCCACATGCTCTGCAGTTGCAAGGTTTTGCAATAAGCTGGAAGCCTAAATGCACTCTTCATGTTTCCCAGGGCTTGTTTTGATGTTTTGCTGAAACAACCCACCCACACATGCATATATAATTTTTATTGTCCTACAGCTACAAAAAAAAAGCTGAGTGCCACAGGTTTGCCTGTGTTTAGTATGTGCATAGAGGCAAAATAGTGTTTGATAAGTGCTAAAATTATTGTCCTCTTGGCTCACATCATCTTTAAACCATTATAAAAAAAAAAATTAAAAGATGAGCTGCATTTGTTTTTTGTAAAGATCATATTTAAGCAAACTGAGTGGAAACAAATGCAAAAAATGAGGATGGAAGTGGAGCCATGCTCTGAAAATTCAAAATGAGAATTTCTGCAAGGAGACGATTAGGGGTAAAGTTATTCTGCACATGGAATTAAAAAATTAAATAAAACAACTGGGTGACTCAGTGTCATGGATTTTATCAATATGTTTATCAATAACCCCATTTCCTGTAGTGAAGAGAGAAGGAGACAATGAGCAGACAGTTCAAACAGTTATAACTGTGGCATATGCACGAGGCAAAATGCCCCGAACATCTGGTCACAGAGTTTATTTATACCAAGAGATAAGAAAGGAGTGAAACTGAGATCATATGTGGGAGAGAGAGTGTGTGTGTGGGAATTCAAGAATGTGTGGGTGTGTTTGAATAAGTGAGCATGCTTTGAGGCATAGAGCAATACATATTACATTCAGTTGATTGAATCATTGATCAAGAATAAATAAACATAAAGTATACTAGGTGACTTAGGCCTAGTCCACACGTAGCCAGGTTTTTTTAAAAACGAATATCCGCCCCTCCAAAAACTTGCATCAACACCACCTCGTTTAAAAAAAAACTGTCCCCACGTACCCTGATAAATACATTGTTAAGGACATGCCAGACCTGTAGGCGACAGTACTTCCCCCGTTCTTAACCTCGTCCTTCATCTGTGGTCTTCCGCAAGGAGCAGTAATCCCGCTTGCAAAAACAAACAAGCAAAAAGCGCTTGGACAATTGATAAAGCGAGCGCAGCTTTGAGGGCATCCATGCTGTCGGCTAGTGTAAACACAGGTCGCACACGTGATGTCAGCAATTTTTTGTCACGAGAAAGTGACGTTGCGGACCTTAAAACTCCGGTTTTGTCTGTCCACACGCAGACACCCAAAACGGAGAAAACGCAGATCTTCACTTTGGCCGGAGTTTTTAAAAAGATCCGTTTTCGTGTGAAAAAACTCCGTTTTCGTGTGGATGACAGGCCAAAACGTAGAAAAATATCTACGTTTTGGCAGATCCCCGGCTACGTGTAGACAGGGCCTTACATAATCTCCCCCAGCTTCTCAAAGAGAATATCTTTTAGTCTTATCTTTTCTGTCACTGAAAATCGAATCATTCCTCGCTGTTTTTAGAAAGAGTTTATTCTAATGTTTCACACCCAAAAAAATCTAGAGATGATCAGTAAAGCCGTGTTTATGCTATCTTTAGTAGGCAGGCTACCCTCATAGCTCTTACTCTGACCTTTCTCCTGGATTATCAAAATGTCACTCTGCAGTTTCACACAAGGTATAGCATCCTTGTTTCTCACACACTCCAAACAGCAGCAGCAGGGTCCCGTTATCTGGGAATTGGTCAAAAGGTGCAAAAGGAAAAGACTGATGCAAAAACTTCAAAGCTCCTTTTAATCTGTTTTACCTGCAATTTACTTTGTTCTGTTGCTTCACCTGAAAAGAATTGGGTCAGGAAAAGAGTGCTGAGTTTGAACAATTTTGTGGTTACTCAACACTTTTTTTTTACTTTACAAACATTCTCCTAAATAACCAGGCAGAGATTTTATTATTATTTTTTTTTGAGCTATTCTAATTTCCGTCACAGCTCAGAAGCAGCTTGTAGGTTACAAGCTGTTGTCTCGTCTTGTAGTAAGTCAGAGTAGTAAAGGAGAATGGTGCTTAAAATAAGTCACCAATTGACAGGCTTTTTTAAGCAGCCCAGTGAGTCAGACTACCCGCTTGCTCAGTGAGCAGACACTAAACAAAACTGACAGTCTTCTTTACTGCCGTCTTATAAAATGCACTATTCAAATGTATTAAGAAATTTGGGGGAAAACTCAAAGCCTGCTAGATACCGTTTTTGTTTTTTAAGCTGTGTTAAATTTAGCTTCTTAGGCCTGCTAAAGAGTTTTGGATTCACGAATCATTTAAAGAGGTTTTAGTTGCAAAAATTAGATTGTAATTTAGGAGTGTGTTTGAGTAACATCACGGTTTCATTCAATTCAAATTATTTATATAGCGCCAAATCACGACAAGTCGTCCCAAAGCACATCACAATTTTGTTATGCCAATTACAGGGAGTGCAGAATTATTAGGCAATTGTATTTTTGAGGAATAATTTTATTATGGAACAACAACCATGTTCTCAATGAACCCAAAACACATTAATATCAAAGCTGAATGTTTTTGGAAGTAGTTTTTAGTTTGAGCTATTTTAGGGGGATATCTGTGTGCAGGTGACCATTACTGTGCATAATTATTAGGCAACTTAACAAAAAACAAATGTATGCCCATTTCAATTATTTATTTTTACCAGTGAAACCAATATAACATCTCCACATTCACAAATATACATTTCTGACATTCAATAACAATACAAAAACAAATCAGCGACCAGTATAGCCACCTTTCTTTGCAAGGACACTCAAAAGCCTGCCATCCATGGATTCTGTCAGTGTTTTGATCTGTTCACCATCAACATTGCGTGCAGCAGCAACCACAGCCTCCCAGACACTGTTCAGAGAGGTGTACTGTTTTCCCTCCTTGTAAATCTCACATTTGATGATGGACCACAGGTTCTCAATGGGGTTCAGATCAGGTGAACAAGGAGGCCATGTCATTAGTTTTTCTTCTTTTATACCCTTTCTTGCCAGCCACGCTGTGGAGTACTTGGACGCGTGTGATGGAGCATTGTCCTGCATGAAAATCATGTTTTTCTTGAAGGATGCAGACTTCATCCTGTACCACTGCTTGAAGAAGGTGTCTTCCAGAAACTGGCAGTAGGACTGGGAGTTGAGCTCGACTCCATCCTCACCCCGAAAAGGCCCCACAAACTCATCTTTGATGATACCAGCCCAAACCAGTACTCCACCTCCACCTTGCTGGCGTCTGAGTCGGACTGGAGCTCTCTGCCCTTTACCAATCCAGCCACGGGCCCATCCATCTGGCCCATCGAGACTCACTCTCATTTCATCAGTCCATAACACCTTAGAAAAATCAGTCTTGAGATATTTCTTGGCCCAGTCTTGACGTTTCAGCTTGTGTGTCTTGTTCAGTGGTGGTCGTCTTTCAGCCTTTCTTACCTTGGCCATGTCTCTGAGTATTGCACACCTTGTGCTTTTGGGCACTCCAGTGATGTTGCAGCTGTGAAATATGGCCAAACTGGTGGCAAGTGGCATCTTGGCAGCTGCACGCTTGACTTTTCTCAGTTCATGGGCAGTTATTTTGCACCTTGGTTTGTCCACACCCTTCTTGCGACTCTGTTGACTATTTTGAATGAAACGCTTGATTGTTCGATGATCACGCTTCAGAAGCTTTGCAATTTTAAGACTGCTGCATCCCTCTGCAAGATATCTTACTATTTTTGACCTTTCTGAGCCTGTCAAGTCCTTCTTTTGACCCATTTTGCCAAAGGAATGGAAGTTGCCTAATAATTA